AGAGGAAGTGAGTCTCTCAGTGAGTAAATCCCTGTGTGGATCCTTTAAGAATGCCTGGGACTCCAGCAGCCCTCTGTTTCACTGAGCCACAATTCTCACTGGTTTTCACAGCCAGAAGTTATGGGGACTTCTCTTCCCTGCCCTGGAACCCTGGGCTTGAGGGCCTGGTGTGGGTCTAGAACTCCTCAGTCCTCAGGGGGAATCTCCATAGCCAAGATATCCCTTTCATTTCTAAACCAGCACATGTNTGTGGGTCTAGAACTCCTCAGTCCTCAGGGGGAATCTCCATAGCCAAGATATCCCTTTCATTTCTAAACCAGAGTGTGGGGCCTGCCTATTCTGCATCTTTAACCCTCCTACCAGTCTCATCGTGTCTTCTTCTGTATGTCCTTAATTATAGGACTTCTGTTCAACTAGTCTTCAGGTGATTCTCAATGATAGTTGTTCTGTAGTTTAGTTGTTATTTTGATGTGGCTGTGGGAGGAGGCAAGCACAGCATTTACCTCATGCTTTTTTTTACTTCTTTGTCCTCTGGTTGGATGAATTTCAGTGTCCGGTATTCAAATTCTCTGATCTTTTCTTCCATTTTTCTAGTATGTTGTTGAACCCCTCTATGAATTTTGTACTTCGGTTATTTTATTATTTAGCACTATGACTTCCGTTTGGTACTTTCTCATATTTTCTGTCTTTTTGCTGAACAATTTTTACCTTGTTCATCCATTGGTCTCCTAACCTTTATGACCATTATTTTGAACTTTTTATTNCTTTTTGCTGAACAATTTTTACCTTGTTCATCCATTGGTCTCCTAACCTTGGTGAGCATCTTTATGACCATTATTTTGAACTTTTTATTAGGGAAATAACATCATTTCAATTAAAGTCTGTTTCTGAAGTCTTATCTTGTTTTTTTAGCTGGGAACATAATCCTTTGTTACTTAGTTTTCCTTTCCTCTCTATGTTGGTTTTTGTAAATTAGATAAAACAGCCACATCTTCCAGTCTTTATAGAATAGTGTTGTGCAGGAGATGAACATCATTATTCAGCCTATCCTGAGCTCTTGATTGTCTCTCAAATCTTTGTGACTGCCCAGGCTGCTTTATTTGTACTTAATGGCTCCCAGTAGAGGGTGTGCCAAGACCTGTATTGAAGTGGGTATTTTCTCATTCACCTGATGTGAAGAGTCATTCAGCTAGTTTCTGGGTTTCTTTCAGAGGGAATTGCTCCACATTAGCTGTAGATTCAGAGGGTCCATGGGACGAGGTGAGTTTGAGAGCCTTCTGTTTTGCCATCTTGGACCAGAACTTTAAAACTAACTACCTAATAGTGTTTGTATCACATAATTGTAATATACATAGAGACTTAAAAATACCAATGCTTTTAAATTTTATTCCTACGGTTTTTAATGTAATATTTTTTCTTGGTGATTTTGCTACCTTTATCATTGAACTTCTCTTTTTTATAAATATTCCCTACATATTTTAAAGGATTTCTGAAATTTAAATTTCTCTGTATGACTTTCTTAACCACATACTTATATGTTGTGAAATTACTGTAAGTTTTGATGATCTCTTTACCAAAGCTCCTATGCTCTCTATAGTATCTTTTTTTTCTCTACTCTGACACACTGTAAACTCAAGAGCAAGACCAATGCATTTTTATGGTATCTAACTAAGGAAGCATTTTAGCAATAATTCTTGATGGAATAGAAACAGAGAGGCAAAAGAAGTTTATGATGGCAAAAACTTTTCAAAATTTGAAAGATGATAATATAAACATTATTTGCCAAGGATTAGTTAGATATACGCATTTCAGTTAAAATTAATGTTTCTTGAGTTTATTAAATCTTTTATTGGAATTCTGCTTTTCAGATTTGAGCTGGGTTGTTTTATTTTTATAAAAGCATTTGTGTTCATTTTATCTGTATTTAAAACAAAATATCAAATTGCAGCTATTGAAATGTTAAATAAAAATTTCCAGTTTTAAATTTTTAGAAATCGTATAAATTAAATTTATATTCATGAAATCCAAATTAGGATACAAGCAACCACTATTAAATAAACAAAAAAATGTTATTCTTCTTGAGTCTTTTTAATTTTTACCATGCTATTCTTTCACAAAGTTTTGATATTTCTATGCTACTTTATTGTATATATGAAAAACAATAGTAGCAACCACAGCAACATCAAAAAGAGTAACAATAATTTTTGAATGCCTGAAGTAGTTTGTGTGTATATATATATAATCTTATTTCTCATAGTAGTGTCATGAACTATATATTACTCTGATTTTACCAAAGATACTGAGGCTTATAAAGTATGTTTATAATTTGTTTTGAGTCTTGAATATACTTGTGTAAGGCTGTATTTTACAATATTTAATAATTATTGTATTGTGCTACTTATACAAATGGATATAATTATAGTTTCCTAACACTTTATTTTTACTATAGGGTTTTAGAATGTGCTCAGTCACTAAAAATCAAATAACACTAAAGACCCAGCAACTCAGCCCTTAAGACATTGTCATCTACAAAATGAAATTATAACCAAAATTTTTAAAATAGTTGCTATTCTAATGAATAGATTTTGGAGTTCTGCAACTACTTTTTTAGCTACACCTTTTCAGGTGTAACAATTCTACTTATAGATTCTAAGCATAAGGCTGTAGTGTGTAATATTTATTGCTGAAATTATTTGTCATGGGCTGCATTTATATTCTAATTTTTAACTTAAAAAGAAGTAATTAAGACCAATTTTCTGAGCACTCTACTATACCCTACTCTTCTCTGTTATACTCCAGTATAAATTATGGTTAATTTTGATATAGGGCATGGTCTTGAACATCATATGCCTTTCCACTTAGGAAATATAATGAATCATCTTTTGGGATCTCAAACTGACCATGTCTTAAGATTTATCTGAACATATTGACCACATTAGAAATTCAATATTTCTGTGAATTTTTATAAAATCTTTATAAATGACGAATTACAGCTTGGGAGAGTTTCAGATGGAAAGTGAAACCAAATCTTTGATTAAGGATATATTTTGTTTTTTTTACAGTTAAATTCCATGAAATAACCCTTTAATTATGTCCAGCTATTTTTAAATCCTCATTTTGTAATTTCTAAAATGTCCTTAGTACACTCAAAAAATTGGCTAAACAAATTGAATGAAGAGTGGCTAAAAACTTGTGTTCATCTGCCCTGGCCGGTGTGGCTTCTCCATTGGTTGAGCTTTGTCTGGTGCACCATGCACAGAGAGGTCACAGGTTCGATTCCAATCAGGGCACATGCCCAGGTTGTGGTATCAATCCCCAGTAGGGGGCATGAAGGAGGAAGCCCATCGCCTCTCATTGATGTTTCTCTCTCTCTTTCTCCTTTCTTCTCTCTCTAAAATCAATAAAAACATTTTAAAAAAAAACACAACTTTGTCTGCTGCCCTTTATCACATATATCTAGTGAATCAGTAGAATCAATCATGGTGAATACTTAAAAGGCTAATGTCTAAGAATTCAACTATCTCTGCACAGACTTAGTTGAGACTAAGTCATATACTAAATGATGTTCTGCATTCATTCAGTTGCCATTAATTTGTATCATAAATCAATTTCTATTAAGAACAGTAACACTAGACCAAGAAACTTGTGACAGAAAAGGTCCACAGTGGGGCCAGAGAGAGCTAGAATCTTATTTAACTCTGACCCCTTGACAACAGCAGGACAGAGAAGTGTACAGCTCATTTGGTTGTGTTTTTGTTTTAAGGCTAAATTTTCAGAATACTTACCCTAATGCAAACATAGAGAGAGGGGTTCAGATACTAGGGAAGTAGAGGAAGAAAAAAGGGTGGAGAAACAATGGAGGAAGGACAGAAGGAAGGGAGGGGGAGGGAGAAAAGGAGTGAGGGAATTCATTTGGAAGCATCACATCACCTGGACATAAGAATCGGGTATTTTACCAATTTATATCCCTGTTGGGTAAATGCCAGGAGGGTTCCATAATTCAATGCCACTGCTCATCATATGTTTGAACCCTGTTCATGCTGATTACGGGGTTGTTTTTGGAGAGTAAAGTGAGAAGGGAACAGGATTTGGAAGAAAGCTGGCTTTTAAAATTTGGAGATTTTGAAAGAGTTGAAAATGGTACTTCAGTTACTGAACGGAATATATTTTAATGTAAAGAGATAATTAATTGTATCTTCAGCAAAGGAGAAGAATTCTTCTTTTAGTGCTGTCATTTTAAATTCTTCTTGACATTTGTAACAAAAACATATCTGGTGCTGTATACACTTACTAATATTAGCTGATTTTTGTAAAAAAAACCTTGAATATCAAAAGACCATTTCTATCTCAATTATATTTCTCATAATAATCATTCTCCATCTTTTATTCATGTGGCTAATTACAGAAAAATCTGTTCTTTGGAGTAAGGGACAGTTGACTCAGTTCATCAGTCAAGAATAATTTTATTGTGCCTGGCACTAAGTGCCATGTTAATTCACAAACAATATTATCTAATGAATAAAGGCTAAAAAGTGAATAATAATTCATGTGCTATGATCATGTTTTCACTTTATCAATCGTAATCATTTGTACAAGTTGTGATAGTTTTTACTGTCTTTTTATAAGCAAAATGCTCTTCAATTTTATAAGTAAATTATATACTCTGGCATTTCTTACACTGGGAATATATTCATATAAATTTTTTACCAAATATCTGGCCAATATGGACAAAGCCATAGTATATTACTATATATAGCTGAATTTAAAGCATTTGTTAATATCAAGTTAATCATTACAGATCCTACCAAGATCTCAGAAAGTTCTATTTCATATAAACTATTGAAATCAGAAAAATATTTTGTTATTGGTGTTCAGTTTGAATATACATGTTCTAGTAAACTTCTGGGCACCAAAGCCCACTTTGTGTGCACCTTATATCTTGTGATAACTGTTGTCTCTTCTTAAATTATTAATAGTAATTTTTTACTTTTCCAATACAGGGAATGGATTAGGAATTAGAATTGTGGGTGGTAAAGAAATCCCTGGACATAGCGGAGAAATTGGAGCCTATATTGCCAAGATTCTTCCCGGGGGGAGTGCGGAACAGACAGGGAGACTTATGGAAGGTAAGAATAAGGAGTTCAAATGAATTAAAATAAATGAACTCATATTAAGTATATAGTAATTTAATATGCAAATTTTCTTTTTTACTGTCTAGAAAAATCTTTTCTGATGGTTAATTGTAAAATTTTTGTATAGTAATATGGAAGATATATACATAATTATATTCATTTTATTTTCAATTGCATTGTCCTTTTGGCAGTTGGTTTGCTATGGGAATATCTTATCTACAGTAATTGGTCAAGATTTTTTACTGACTGGGGCAGTGTTATAAATAAAAGTACTTTGGTTGTAGGGATTAATGTTTCATAAATTTCAAGAAAACATCAGATGATTCAGTACATGTTAAAGTCAAGTCAGCAAATTATGGAGGACCCAAGGGCCAAATCCATCTGCTACCTGTTTCTGTAAACATTGTTTTATTGGAGCACAGCCAGGAGCATTAATTTACATATTGAACATGGGTGCTTTTCCACTACAATAGCAGAACTGTATTTACAACAGAGACAGTATGGTCTACAAAGCCTGAAACATATACTCTTTGATCCTTTACATAAAAAATACTTTGCCAACTCCTGTGAAAAGTACTGCGTAATTTAGATAACTTTCACCTCATTACATCATAAGCATTTTAAAATAATGAAGTTTACAGATGTATCTAATGGCCCATAAAGTTTGTATTTGGTCACTTTCTTTCACTAAAATGTTACAGCTTGATTCTCAAAATGCCTAATGATAATGTTCACTCGTTAATCAGATGATGCAGTTATTTGCATTTTCTAAACCATTGCAGATACAGTTTGCAAGTTTTGAGTGATATTGCTTATAATGAACATTTTCTATCATAAAGTAGCCTCAACCTATCATTTTATTTTTACTGTAAATTAAATACTTATTTGAATAGTGTTTTCTGTTATTATATAATTTCATAAAATGTTGCCTGTTACTGTTTAAACTTTTAATTATGTTAAAATTATTCACAGTTAATGTTAAATGTATTGGAACCCACCAAAAAAGTTTCTGGATATTTTGATAGACTATTAGAATAAACACAAACTTGAGGAAGTATTTATTCATCACAGTGTTGTGCTGGAAAGAGCTTGGACATATCTTTCCAATTTCACATTCAGTGTCATCACATTGATAGCTTGAATTGGCCATAGTGAGAGTATTTACAGCATGGAAACAGGCAGATGCTATAAACCAGACCATTTTTTTAATATATATATATTTTTTATTGATTTCAGAGAAAGGAAGGGAGAGACAGAGATAGAAACATCAATGATGAGAAAGAATTATTGATCGGCTGCCTCCTGCTTGCCCCCTACTGGGGACTGAGCCTGCAACCCAGGCATGTGCCGTGGCCAAGAAGCAAACACTAACCTCCTGGTTCACGGGTCCACACTCAACCATTGAGCCAGATCGGCTGGGCTCATTTTTGTTTGTTTGCTTGTTGGTTTTCAGAGTGCCAGTTTACCAGGATATTACCAAATATGTAGCTGAAAGCATATTATTAAAACTATTCTAATAGTATTCATAAAACAGGGAAAGTTAAAAAATTTAGCCAGATAGCTGAATGAAGGACTAGACTGTATGAATCAAGATATAACAATTATGAGGAAATCACTGAGTCTCTATGAATTATCCATGACTATAATCCTATCATCCCCAATGCTACTCTTTTGGTGTTACGATCTAGTTAAGATACAGGAGTTGAGACCCATTTTTAAGGATGGTAGTGATATGATTGCTCTCATATAGCATACTCTAGAAGAAATGAATACGCTATTTTATTTTAAAATAAAATTTGCAGAAATGGCTGTGCCTGATATAACTTGGCAAAGATACTAAATGACTTAAAGATAAAATTACATACCCTTCTTTGTATTTACACCCTGGAAATTGGCAAGTGCAACAAATTGGGATGATTTTAAAGATAATTTCAACAAAGCATACTGTGATGAAATAATGCTCTTTGTACTTGGTAGCTTATGTGGCCATATTTTATGTTCATGAATTTAAATTAAAAATAGATATAATACAAACTTATTCAAGAGAGAAAATTGAAGTGCATCTTTGATTTTACAAATGCTAAGACTGCCACTGAAGTCCTTATCTTGGAACTAGTAGTTTTGTACTTTATCTAATTGGTTTAAGTGGTAAATTATTTAAAACTTTGTACATATGATTTAAGTTTTTATTTTTATTAATTATATTATTTATTAATTTTCCTGAAGCTTTGCCAAGGTGCCAAGCCAGGTGTTTTTATGAGTATAGGTTCTCTGATTAGAGTCCAGTTCTTGCATAACCCATACCCATAATTTTTTATTGATGATTTCCAGCTTTGCTTTATTTATTCTTACAACATAGGTCTTTAATAGAACACTTGGTAGTTTTTCTATTAGGTCCATGATACTACCTGGACTGTCAAAATTTAGATCCTGATTCTGAAACATTAAATATTTTGAGGAGTAACTTTAACATATGATAAATTTACTTTCTTCCATCCATATGTTCCATGACAACAGGCTACTAGAAGGCCATCAGGCCAAATGACTGTTCATAAGCACTTACTGTGTTTAGACCAGTACATTCTCTGGTTATGTATGCATAATAAACTATTATGTGTATAGTTATATAGTTTTTAAATATATATAGTTTTTAGTACGTATAATTTGTTTTGCCTATATATAGTTTTGTCTATATATGTTTTTATACATAGTTTTAATATATTATATATAATTTACGTTTTGTCTATAATTATGCGTCTCATTTATACATGATATCTTTAGAGCCCTCATCCTCACACCCCCAATAGAGTATCAAAAAAGTTCAAAGTAGTAGATTGGTTGGACAGAACTCTAATTTTATGCCTGATGTGAGGAATTTCTATAATAATACCAATTTTTGATCACTGGTTTTGTGTGTTTTTTAATTTTTCAAATATTTTTCATGACTTGATTTTTTAAAATTTCTTTANATTTTATGCCTGATGTGAGGAATTTCTATAATAATACCAATTTTTGATCACTGGTTTTGTGTGTTTTTTAATTTTTCAAATATTTTTCATGACTTGATTTTTAAAAATTTCTTTATTGAAGGCAATAAAGATGGTTAATTTTCCACAGTATGAGATTAATTCTTTTCTAAGGAAATATTACGTATACAGTATGTGAATAGATAATTGATGATAGATGGATAGATAGATAGATGATAGATGATATAGATAGATGATAGATGATAGATAGATAGATGATATAGATGATAGATAGATAGATAGATAGATAGATAGATAGATAGATAGATAGATGATAGATAGATGTGTTTGTGTTTATGTGATTTAATTCTCCATCTGTATAATGAATTCCAGGTAGACACAGGGAGTGACTTGATCTTTTCGGAGTATATCTTTCTGAATTTCTGAATACAAAAGTATATAGACTGAGCCTTTATGATTCAANTTTTGTCTATAATTATGCGTCTCATTTATACATGATATCTTTAGAGCCCTCATCCTCACACCCCCAATAGAGTATCAAAAAAGTTCAAAGTAGTAGATTGGTTGGACAGAACTCTAATTTTATGCCTGATGTGAGGAATTTCTATAATAATACCAATTTTTGATCACTGGTTTTGTGTGTTTTTTAATTTTTCAAATATTTTTCATGACTTGATTTTTTAAAATTTCTTTATTGAAGGCAATAAAGATGGTTAATTTTCCACAGTATGAGATTAATTCTTCTCTAAGGAAATATTACATATACAGTATGTGAATAGATAATTGATGATAGATGGATAGATAGATGATAGATGAGATAGATAGATGATAGATGATAGATAGATAGATAGATAGATAGATAGATAGATAGATAGATGATAGATAGATATAGATAGATTATAGATAGATGATTGATAGATGATAGATAGATACATAGATAGATACATAGATAGATACATAGATAGATAGATGATAGATAGATAGATAGATGATAGATAGATAGATAGATA